GCAGCCTATTTTTCCCTTGAACAAACTTTTTATTCTTTTGACTAGCCTTTTCTTTTGCAGTGCATTTACTTTTATAGTGACCAGTCTTACCACAGTGAATGTAAATTTTGTTCTCAGGAAGTCTGAGATACTTGCTTTTGGGATCCAATTTAGGTGGCAGATTCCCAAAGCCAATTCCTCTTCTATTTCTACTGTGATGTTCCTATAGCCATGAAAGTACATCGGAGGACCTGTTCCATTTAGAAGTTATGTCTAGTTCATGCTTGACTTTGCCTAGATCCTCCTTCAAAATTCTAACCTGCTCATCCTTCTTATACAACTCATCTTTTGGTTTACCTACATTTTCTTCTAGAGTGAGTTGTGTGCAATCAGTTGTCTTCTTACTTGTTCCTAATTTCAGTTTTAGGTTTTCAGATCTAAGTTCTAGGACATTTGATTCAAATGCATGAACCTGGTTCTTTAATGCAGTATTTTCACTTATAGTCTCATTAACCCTAAGTTCCAAGTTCTTACACTTTGCTTTCAAAATCACACATTCCTTAGACAACTGTTCATTTTCATTGTTTACATCCTCAGATTTATCAATGAAATCTAGAAGTAATTCATATAGCCTTTCTTTAGACAAAAATTTAATCTTGTCTTTGAGATGAATTACACTTACCTCAGATTCCTCATCAGATTCTCCAATGGCCATAAGTGCTTGTTCATCTCTATCTTCATCATCTGAGCTTTCTCCCCAAGCAGCAACCATAGCCTTTGTTGATCCTTTGTTCTTCTTGGGTTGAACTTATTCCTTCTTCCTGTTTCTTCGTTCAGCTATTTCCTTCTTCCATTCAATTTTCCATTGAGGGCAGTTCTTGATGTGGTGATCAGTCTTACCACACTTGTAGCATCCCTCATTGGTTTGTCTTTCAGGAGCCTTTGGTTTGTTGTAGCTTCCACTTCTTGAAGGACCATTTCCTCTCTTTAGGTACTTCTTGAAGTCCTTTGTGATCATAGCTATTTCATCATTTTCTAGATCAGAAACTTCAGTGATTCTGAGTGCCATGCTCCATTCCTTCTTGGGTACATCCATCTTCATGATTTGCCTTCTAAGTTCATAAGCAGTGAGATTTTCAATTAGCTCATCCAACTTAAGAGTGGCAATGTTCTTTGACTCCTGAATGGCGGTGATTTTGCTCTCCCAAGTAACTGGCAGAATCCTTGTCAAAATCTTCTAAACTCTATCTTCTTCAGAAATAATCCTTCCAAGAGACTTAAGTTCATTTGTCATGTCAAAATCTTCTAAACTCTATCTTCTTCAGAAATAATCCTTCCAAGAGACTTAAGTTCATTTGTCATGTCAAAATCTTCTAAACTCTATCTTCTTCAGAAATAATCCTTCCAAGAGACTTAAGTTCATTTGTCAGTGTGGTGAACCTTGTATACATCTCTTGGATGGTTTTCCCTTCTTTCATGGTGAAATTCTCATATTGAGAATATAGTAGTGTTCCTCTGGACCTCTTCGCTTAAGGTGTTCCTTCATGGGCCACTTGCAAAGTGTCCCAGATTTCCTTAACAGTGGTACAACTTTGGATTCTACTATACTCATCTAGACCGAGTCCACAAACAAGCTATTTTTTGGCTTTAGCATTCTTCTCTCATTTCCTCAAGTCGTCAGCAGTGCAGTCAACTCTTGTTTTTGGCACTTCTTCTCTTTCAGCATTTATATTCATGGTAGTCAGTGGACCATCTGTGACAATGTCCCATAGCTCATAGTCTTCTCGTATGATGTGATCTCTCATCCTGTTTTTTCACCAAGAGTAATACTGGCCTTTGAAGAGTGGTGGCCTAGCAGTGGATTGCCCTTCCCAGTTCCCAGGTAGTGCACTCATCTTGATCTTCTCCTAAGGTGTTAGCCTCTTCAAGGATAACCTGCTCTGATACCAATTGATGTTTTAACTTCAATACCACACAAGAGGGGGGTGATTTGTGTGGTATTTAATTTTTCGCGTGCACAGATTATAGAAATACCTGGTTCTTCTATGTATTTTTTATACTACTGCTGCGGAATAATAAATGCAAAAATTTAAGAACACAAGTATTTTACGTGGAAAATACCTGGCTCAAAAGGTGAAAAAACCACGACCTACTTTCCAGTAGGATTTTTCCAAACTCTCCACTAAATCACTGAGCCAAAAATTGCATTTACAAAATACTTTTGCAAATCTAGGATTAACTCTAATCCTGTTGTGGCAACCAGCCTCTAACTGTTGCGACAACTTCAAGTTAACTCTAACTTGAATACTCTGAGTACCTATTACAGTTGCCTTTAGATAAAGCTGAAAAGTACAATATGAAAACACCTACTACAATTGAACTAGAATAAAAGACAGACACTTGGAGCTGGTTCTTCTATCTCGTTCATGTAACTTCAGGTTCGCACACTTGAATCACATACGAACTGCTTGCAAAATGTCTTGCTATTTTGCTCTCAATTCACGTTTAACTTCTGCTTTTGTGCGTCATGTAGAATGAGAACATTCTGCGATTTATAGAGTTACTAGGCCAATATTTATCCACCAAGATTTGGACAAAGGAAAAAAATTACCTAGTAATTTTGCCTATGCTCATATTTAAACTCGAGAACTTATAATTTTAAACTCACTTCATTGACCGCTAAAGTACACCCTTAAGTGCAGTTTCATTGAGAAACTATCCCAGCTTCCCTTTATAGTTATAGCGTTAATGTACAAACAATAACCATTATATTAATTGAAAGAGATTGGATTTCCAACTCCAACTAAGCAACGGTTAATTATTCATAACAGGTTACTTTTAGCCAGATTCAGGACAGATTTTAATTTGTACAAATCGTGACTGATCCATTTCTTTTGACAGCAATGCATATGCCAACTCTATGACCATTTGTACGGAAGCACCAAATAATTTCATAAATTTTATATGTCAGAGATATTTCTTCATTTATTCGTAACTATGGAAAATTTAAAACAGAATAATAAAGATCTCTCTTCAGTTTTCATTTATTTTATGTTTGCAGTCCAAATTTAACATGAGTAAATATATTCTATACTCACTTCATTTATCATTTAGTAAGAATTTTGGATTCATTCATGGTTTTCTTCTTCTTTTTTTGGTTGTGTCTACAAGAAATATTATGGATAAATAGGATGACGATGATTATGAAGAAACAAAAAATGAACAATAATAGTGAAAATAGCACGGGCTAGCTAGTTTTCGCAATGGTAATTAAAAAATAGTCGGCGTTTGCAAAGTCATTGAAAAATAGTCATTATTTTGTTGAAACACAGAAAGTTCCAATATAATATGCGGGATTATGGAGCTCCTACGTATAAACTTCCAGCATATTGTGTTGGAACTCTAGCACAGGGAAAGTTCCAGCATAATATGCGGGATTATAGAGCTCTTGCATATAAACTTCTCGCATATTATGTTAGAACTCCAACACATTATGCTAAAAACTCATATGTAAAAAATTCGAAGTCGAATATATCTGAATCTTAAGGGTGTTTTTGTTCAGATTTAATCTTTACATGAAAAAGTGGCTAAATTTCGATTACTTAGAAACTGTGGCTATTTTTCAGTTACCAGTTGTAAATCTAACTATTTTTTATTATTTTTCTCACAATACAACAATAACAACCCAGTATAATCCCACTAGTGGGGTCTGGGAAGGGTAGTGTGTACGCAGACTTTACCCCTACCCTGAGGTAGAGAGACTGTTTCCGATAGGCCCTCGGCTCCCTCCCTCCAAGAACTCCCCACCTTGCTCTTAGGGTGACTCGAACTCACAACATTTTGGTTGGAAGTGGAGGGTTCTCACCAATAGAGCAACCTACTCTTTGTCTATCGGAAACATCCTCTCTACCCCACAATAATACGACAAATTAACATTCAGCTTCATTTAGAAAAATGGACAGCCTGGTGCACAAGGCATCCCGTGTTCGAGCAAGATCCGAGAAACGGTTGCACCCCTAAGGAGTGTAATGTTAACAGTCTACTATAATGCAAGCACTAGTGGTTGCTTCCACAGCTCGAACCCCCATGACATATAGGTCACATGGAGACAATTTTACAGTTGCTCCAAAACTCACCTCCAATTCCATTTACTTTGATAATAATGGATTTATGTATCAATATTTTCTTTACTCTTTGTAATGATTTGCCCCAGTCAAGCAGGGAAAGCAGAACATATTTTCCAAAAGTAGCTACCAACAAACTTGCTTGTTCAAATGTTGACTATTATCACATACTACCATTTAGTGATGTAGTCAATGTTTGGTTGCTTTAGGAATTTCCTCAAACCAAGCTTTCTCATAATACATAATCCGTAAACTTTTAATTCCAATATTACTTTCTTCTATGTAGCCTATGATCTAACTTCTAAATTTATGAACTAATGTATAGCGGTCACAATAGAGATATTTTATCACTAAACCCTAAAAAAACAAAAAAACACATCTCCTCAATTTAGGTTTCTGAGCAGTTAGCAGTAATATTACAAGTATAATTATATATACATGCACTTGGAGCCTGGTTAGATGTTTGAAGGGGGAGAAAAGAGTGAATGGATAAAATTTTACTTTAATTAGGGAGGTATATTGCCATAGAACAACAATAAATTTAGACAGCAGCAGATTAACTCAACGGCGAGAGATATATCTTCAGTACAGGCTATAGCAGCAATATATATGTAAGATAACTAAAATTGCTAATAATATTCAATATACTTAAGTAGTGTGTTTAACACCGTTGCTAGTGCTGATTATCAGCTAGTATAGGTTGTAACGGATACGCCCGCGTCCACTGTCACCACGCCGTCCATCCCTAGAACCTAGCCTAGCAATCAATGAAGTTTGAATGGACCATGGAAGACCAGGTTTCAAATCACAGCAAAGGCAAAAAATGTTAGTATGTGATTTTCTTCCCATTTACTTTAGCCTTGATAGATTTACTCAGTACTTTATACTGGTGGGAAGTGACAGATAACCAATGAATTAGTTGATGTGCGAGCAAGCTAGTCCAGACACAACTGTTATAACAAAAAGGAAAAAAATCACCAATTTCAGAGGACGTGATCACTTTGCTTTCAACAAATACTAACTGAAAGAACATTAGCGCCAATATACAGTTGTCATGTCATAACACAACTGCTACCCACAAAAGAAGACACAGTACACGAACTGGACTCAATATGTTAGACATCCAGCGCACGGAAGGAATTTTTCAGTCGAATGGCTGCTTCAAGACTGAAACAGAGCAAGCAGCATGTAATATGTATTATCTAAAGCCACAAAGTACACGAACTGCCTCTGTTCCAGAAACACACTTGTCTTCAACAAATGGAATTGTCTTCCATACTGTTAACTTCATAGGACCATTCTTATTACCTAAATCAACAACATGTTTAGGGTTCTTCTTTGTTGTAATTCTATAATTCATAAAGGAAAAAAAAAACATGCTAACCTTCACTTGTGACATCTTTTTCTGTGCAAATGGCAGCATAATGAGAACCGGCCAACTCCAGGAGCATAAACTGCCAATTGCTTGTTAGATCACTGGGATCGTCAAACATATCCACTGATATTTCAGATGCCTGAAATAAAATATGTTTATCAATAAAAGCATTCTCTCAAACTCTGAGGTATACGTATATTCTATTTGAATGAAGCTATTATTAGACTGGGAAAGTAACAGAAGAGGCCCTGGTGCTTGTTTAAGAAGTTGTGGGTAAAATAATCAGGAAAAAGTTGCAAATTGGGAAAGTGTCCTGTCGGGAAAGGATTAAATTGCGTTCTGGCTGTTTCAAGAGCTCAAGTATAGCCTAATCTTACACGTGATTCTGTTAGCTTGGCATCATTTTTGCTGAATTTGAAAAAATTAGGTAACCCCACAAATCGCCTCTACGACAGATTGAATCCATCACCATTTGACTTTTTTTTTTCCAAGTCAATAATGTCTTATTAATAGCACACCAAGAGAGAGTTATGTATGTATGTACAAATTAATCCATCACCATTTAACAATAACTTTTCTGTCTTTTTCAGTTCAAATGTAAGTCCAGTCGAGATAGTTTATTTATTTTGTATTAAGGAAAGCTCATTTGAAAAAGTTACCAAACTTGTTCAAAAGTAGCTGTGTCATATTAAGGAAAGCTCATTTGAAAAAGTTACCAAACTTGTTCAAAAGTAGCTGTGTCATACCTCGGTATTTGAATTTCGAGAGAGGTGAGGGCTTTCTCCAATTGCACTCCCAAAACGAACTGTAAACGTCTTGAAAGGTGCACCTGAGAAACCTCCCCCCAATGCTTTCACATATGCCTCCTGCAAGCAATCTGCTTTTTTTAGAGGCTCAACTTAATAGTAGATAATAACAAGAAAACTTTGATCCTTCACTTTCGATTTACCTAACATACAATCAATAAAGATAACACATTCAAGCAGATAGATAGGTTAAAAGGCGCAAAAGCCTTCTCTAGATAAGCTTGCTAGCTAGAGAATAACTTTCACATATATGTGTATTGATGAGGCAGTTTGACCTTGATGCTTGCTTCCTACAGAAAATGCACTTGGAAGTCATAAGCCAACATCCAAGTAAGATAGACCGCAAGTGAATACATTCTTAAAAGCTAGTAATGAAGGATCTGGCACTTCTGGGGTTCTTTCTATTCTGTAAAAATAGTATGTTGCTGCTAACTTTTGGTTGTGCGTTACTACTTTGTATATATTGCCAAAGCACTGAGGTAGTGGGCCTAAATGATGTCGGCAGACAGCTAATATTGGTAATGTATATAGGATGTATGTTTTGCACAGGGACTTCTGTATGAACTACAGTACAATAAGTAATTTCCTGTATGAAAGTTGTTAACCCCTTATTGGTATTTAATGAAAAAATTGTTCTCTCTCCTCTTGCTTGTCCAGCCACCTGCTTGTTTCAACTTCCAGACACCAACAATCGAGATCTAAGTTGCTCGGACACGGGTGCGGATCTAGAGGTCGGATCTTTCAAGATGTAAATTTTAAGATTCGAGGATACGGATCCTAGTACGGATACGGGTGCGGGGATCCGGCTAAACATAATTAAGAAAAATAAAAATCTCTCCAATTTATGAGAAATTTTGTGGAATACTTACGTATAGCTTGTAAAGTGTGGATTTCCTTTTTATTCTCAAGTTGTAGATAAGTAAAAGATTGATTTCCTAGATAAGATATGCTATTTTCTTCAAATTTACCCTAGTTTTAGTTCTGATTTTGGTAATCAAATTGTATCTCGTCTCGAATTTTTCTGTACGTCGTGGACTCGTGGTCAGAGTACCCAAAATTGTTTGACCAGATCCGGTACGAATCCCATACCCACACCCATACTAGTATCGTGTCGACACGGGTGCGGCACCTAAACTGTCATGTCGGAGTAACTTAGATCGAGATACTTCTTTTGCATAAGCTACTCTTTTGATAGAATCTTCACATTTCCAGGGAAATATGAACCTGAACTGCAAGTTCGCAACCACCTCAACAATTCAACAAGTTACTGCTTAGAAACCAGAATACATGGAGAAAGCAAACCTCTTAAAATAAACCCTTTGTTTTCGTATATACTGCAATTCCATCCAAGAAAGTCAATTTATGCCTTCTAGAAACTCACACAAATCTTCTTTAACGCTCAGAGTTTAACCCTTTTCTTTGGTAAATTAGTGGAATTATAAACAGAAAAGGTTATTCTATTCCATTCATCACTCAGAGCCCCTTTGTCAATGTAAGATACCAACATCTTCTATTTTCATTTACACGAGGGAAGTTCTCTCAATTACTCCTCCAACTAAGTCATTCTGGCTTTTTTTTCTTTTTATTTTATAACGTTGGTATCTGGGCCAGCTTGCGTGTACCTCGACTACAGGGGGTGTTCAAGATGAGCTTAAATGGAGCGGCATAGTCAGTGGGAACTCATATCGGATGCCGACTTGCTTGGGTTGAGGCATAGTAGTTGTTACTATTAGAGGGATTCACAAAGCAAAATGCAAATAAAATGGCCCATGCTGAAAAGTTTTACCTTTGCTTTCCCCTTAATAATAAGATAAGCTCCATATCTGGTAGAATTGCCCAATCCTTTCTTTCCATGCATATTTTGCATCTTTTAGATGGTAAATATGAATTAAAGAGAAGTGCATGATGTTCAGACAACATCCACTTGCTTTATATTGCTAAAAGACAGAAAATATACTCAATATCCAGCGATTACCACAGCTTGAAAGATTATGTTTCAAAAGGAAACAAACAAGAAAATTGAAGTAAGGGCAGAAAGTCTAGTAAAACAAAACCAGAAGAACTGGAAGCATCTAAAGTTGTACGGATGACTTCCCTTTAAATACTGGAGATAAATAAGGAGGCAAATAAACCACATGAATGAAACAAGCCATAGCTTCAAACCACAACTATGACTAAGTATTGGTACACACTTTAAGATTTTTGATTGGTGAGACTAGTTAAATAGAGCTTATTAAACATTGTCATCACTAAAAGAAACTGAGACAATAATCACGAAATCAATAAACTAACCTTTAGTGTCCATAATTTGATAAACTCCTGATGCTGAAGATGGGGATCTTTAATAGCAGTCAACACGTGAAGTTCATGTTCAGTGAAGTATCTTCTAGCTAAAGTCAAAACATTGTGCTTTACAGGCCTTTGCTTTGCTTCCACATCAATACCAATCTATAAATGAAAGAATAAGTGATTTGCCATGCAGCTGAATGTATGCATACACTGACTTGAGGGACCAAAATATTTACAGGAGAATTTATTGTCACGCCACAAGCTATCAGAGATGATGTATGTGAGATGTTGAAATGCAAAGGAGGAGGCTCACAATGATCACAGTGTTGCCAATCTACCTGTAGACATAATCAGATAAACTCAATGGCACATAAATACAACACATAAAGAGAAAATATGAGCATACAACTGGAAAGCTACTGAAAGCTCAAATCACACTAACCTCAGGCTTCCCATGAATGCTCTTCCTAAACTTGAGGGATCTGGGCTGGATCGAAGAATTTATCTGATCTAGGGAAAACCAACGCTTTCAGAGTTATAAACAATTTATAGTTCTACAAACACACAACGACAATACAGTAGTGATAACATAACCTATTACAGTGCTGAATCTAACATTGAAATGAATCAATTCAAAAAGACATTAACATATCCTTAGGTCAGTTTCCAGTTCTTGATTAACAGCTAATAAGCTTCTAAAATGTGAAATCACTGTGCAATGGAAGAAGGGGAGCCTTGGAACAACGGTAAAGTTGCCTCCGTGTGAGCTATAGGTCACGGGTTCGAGCCATGGTATCAGCCACTGGTGCTTGCATCAGGGTAGGCTGCCAACATCACACCCCTTGGGGTGCGGCCCTTCCCCAGACCATGCGTGTGCTTCGTGCACCGGGCTGCCCTTTTACTATGCAATGGAACAAATATAGATATCAGAATAACTAGAATAATTGCATTTACATAACATTCTTCTACTAAAAGTTTATTACCACCCACAAACGGGTGCATTAGCTTTACAACAAAATGGATATTGCTTCTACTAAAAGTCTATTCTAACTCGTCTTCCATAATATCAGGGGGGGTTTAAGTAAAATGCAAATAGCAAACAAATAATATCAAAAAGCTCAACATAGTATCTTACATCTTGCAATGGTGGTTCTAACCAGCGTACGAGCGAGTAAAGCACTTTTTCTCAGCTCATCTCCACGCATACTAGACACATGTTCTTTCTCACAAGGTGGTAGAATTTCCATATATTTGTTCAGAAGAGATTCACCCTTCACTTCATTTGGTATTACATACCAAAGATGTGTTTCCCTAAAAATCAAAACCATTAAGCAAAACCATTAAAAACAATACAAAATTTGCATATTTAATAAAAGGAACTAAATCATACTTTGGAGAAGGGAGTGGAATAGGAGCCAAAGGGGTTGAAGAACTGAAGAATTTAATATCAGTGCAGCAATTCAACCGCATTCTGTAAAACCCACGTTGCATAGATGAATTTTTCTGCATATAATAGATAAAAATTTGAATCTTTTCTGCATATAACAGATCAAAATTGAACCTGTTCTACATATAACAAAAAAAAATTGAACCTATTCAGCGTAAAATATAAAAATTGAATCTTTTCTGCATATAAAAGATAAAATTGGATCTCTTTTCTTCTCTTTGGCAAGCTCTATATTACACAAATTTGAAAGAATTCAAAACGAAGCCCCTATTAGTTCCAAAAAGAAAAAGGAAGAAGAACATACAAGGTCGGGGTTCAATTATTTAAACAATTTGGAACAGTCAACTAACTTTACTAATGTCCTATAGTATTTTCCTCCTGATCTTAAATATAACAAACTTTTACCAAATTCTTAAAAGATAGTTTACAATAGACAAAATATCGATGCATACGAGTAAAATCGAGCCTGCTGCGTGACTCGACTTCCCGGTGGGCCAAGCAGAGCAGGAAGGTGACCGTAATGTATCAGGCCCAAACATGTAATATCACACAATCACAAAAGCCAAGTATAACAGTTATTCTAAGCTCGAATTTTGAACCCTGAACCAGAAGTTCTGGGTTCGTTTCCCCAGCAAAGTCGCTAGATCTGTCACACCTCCTTTTTTTCCCGAGGGATAGGGAATTTTTCCAATTTAAGTGACATTATTCGAAATAGGATTATTTATTTATTTAGAGTTGCCACTTGAAATAATTATTATGGTGTCCCAAGTCACTGGTTTATTTTTAAATCCCAAATCGAGGAAATTAATTTTCTTGTTGGTCCGCGAACACAGAAGACCGGGTAAAAAATTCTATTAACTCGGGAGAAGGTGTGAGGCACTCCCGAGTTCCTTGGTTTTAGCACGGTCGCTCAACAATTAATAATTGGCCTAATTATCTGATTTATTACACGTTTAAAACATATTGTGCATTACCGCTTCTATACTGATTTTAGTTGTTTATTTAATCGCTTTTAGTAATTATGAAATTTATTTGAATAAGTCGCGATGTCGTGCACTCATTTTGTTTTGTACATATTGCGAATCGCGCCACGTGAAACACACCCGCTATTTGCAACATGTTTATTTTTATTATTATTTGAAGTTACGGTCAAGTCGCGTGAAACACGCACTTGATTCGGGAATTACATATCGCGACTATGCTACGGGAACCGTACCCATAGCCACGATTTATTTATTTAGTCGCGCCTAAAGCAAGTTACGATGTTCATGATTATTTCTTCCAAGTTTGAGATTATTGTAAGCCCATGAATTATGGAGTAGTTATGAAAAAAATGTAATAGATTAGTTATAGAAGGGTGAACTAGTAGAATTCTTTTGGCCCAAACTAATTCAAATCAATACCTTAAGTTTAAGAGCCTAACACTTCCAACTCCAAAATCACAACCCTAAAGCCTGCTTATTTTCTTCTAGACTCAATTATGGTTTCAATCCTTCTCACATAGTACTTACAGAATCTCAAACATGGAAACAATTCTTAAAGGAAGACTAAAAGAACACTCGCACAATGGCATTCAATTAACCTAACATAACATCTTGTATTTGATAAATCATCTAATGAACCCACTAGATTAACATAAAAGTCACTATTCCCATTCAACTTTATTCACACAAACTTAATAATAACAAACTCAACAAATGCAGGTTCTTCAAATAGAAAACAAATTCACGTAACAGGATATGAACCATTAAATCACTGACAAGTAAATCACAAGAGAAAAGGCCGAAACAATTCTTGAAGAAAAGAAAAGAACTGACAAATACACTAAAGAATTTTGGTGCCGAATACTGTTGAAATTCAACGACCAAAAAAGCAAACTTGAAAAGACGAAATCGGGACTTTGGCTGTATTTTGATGGGTGGTTCCGGGCTGAGATTTCATGGAGTTTCATGGGTCTTTCATGGTATAAAAGGTGGTGTTTTCATGGCTGAAGTTGCTGAGTTTTGGGTGGGATTTGGAGCTTTTTGGGACTATTTGGGGGGCATTTTGGGTGACTGTTTCAGCGTTTTGGGGGGCTGCATTGGAGCTATTTTTCGGCAACTTTCCAACCGGTTTTGCTGCATTTTTTGGAAGATTTCCAGCTGCGTTTAAGAGCGATTTTTGAGCTATTTTTACGCTGGTTTTGGAGGTGTTTTTGCCACTGAATTTGATTCAACTACTAAAGCACAATTATGTAGCTATTGTTCTCAAAATCCATACTGAGACGAAAGCAATAAAGAAATTCATACAGATCTGTGGACTTGTTCAATTTGCAATTATGCGGTCGAAATCCGATGCAAGCAAACAACGTCCCAATTTCAGTTCATATTGTTAGCTAAACATGATGATGCAAGCAAATCCAAACAACAAATTGACAGTGATGTTAACAAATTATCATTCAAAACGTAATAGTGACAGGCAAATTTGAGGCTTACCTACTGAAGGTAAAACGAACAACTAAATGTCGAATAAAGGTGAAGCACAACAGATGGAGCTCGACACGCAGATTCAGCAATGAGCAGCAGAAGTCCAACAAAAATTGGAGTTTAAATCGACCTCTTAAACCCAGAGAATGCCGAATGATCAACAACAGACGAAATTGCTTTAGAAATCCTCTTCAAATCCTAACTTTCTTCTGATTTTGGAACTTTTTGTTTTGGCTTTCCAGATCTATTTTTTGAAGCTCTTTCAATTTTTTTAAAGTTG